GAGTCAGAACTTTTACGACTACCATTAAAAAGTGTAGAATAGTATAAGAAGAACATTTTAAAACCCAGTGTTTTTAAAAATACATTATCCCAAATTCTCCAATTTCAATACACAAAATTAATAATAAGACAAAAAACTATTAAAAATGTACTGGTAATTCCAAAAAACTTGAATTTCTTTATAAAATAAAACGCAATAGTCGCACAGATAGTCAGTTTAGTCGTACTAATAGTTGGATTAGTCGTAAAAGTCGTGTCTCAGCCCGAACAGATCCGACTACCGTGGCACTGCAAGATAGAAATGACCCAAACTTTAGCAGTCTACAATATTATAATATACACTTTTTTTGTTACTTTTGCAATCCATTTTATTTGCGATACACTATTACTTACTTAAATAGCTACCAAATAGTACTTTTTTTTTTCAAATTTTACATATATAATAAAGAATGCCATGTTAATTTATAATTACAATGATCCTATGGTGATGTGATTTGTATAGAGGTCGCCTTATTGCACGATATAACGACATACGGTGACATTTCTTTGACAAAAAACCAATTTTTTCATCAATAACCCGCTGTTCTTTCAACGATATTTACGTAAAATGTGGGTTATTTTGATGTAAGCTTTTGGTTTTAAGTTATCATGCCACCGAAGTCGTTTCACATAATCCAAAATTCGCCCATAATTGACAGGCGGTCAACGGTGGTAACCTCTATACGACATATGAATTAACATATAGTTTCATTTAATATTTTAAATGTACGTTATATTCTCTTCTACTTACATTTAAAGTGAAACTTATAAAACACAAAAAAAGAAAAAATACAATTTCAATATATTTAGTTATATTTAAAAAATAATTATTATAACGACAGTGTTACGATTAGAAAGCAAAAAATAGCGATTTTTTGTTACTTTACATATGATACGAAGGAAGGAATTATTTCAGTTTTTTTAGTATGGTAACATAGGATATGGTGTTTCCGCTGGCAACACTACATTATGGCACATAACACAAACTCCAGCTTAACTTTCTTATATTAAGGACCATTTTTAACAAATTATATATTAACAATTTTATAATATTTCACCGTCAAAGGTAACACAATAAGATTTCGTATAACCAGAGGATTTGCTTCAAGAAATAACAATTTGGTGCTAGAAGTCACTTGATGATAGCGAAAATTGGTTACTACAAAGCAACAAGTTGGGCGACAGTTGAGCAACATTAGGGCAACTATCGCTGCTACTATGAAAATCGCTTAGATATTTTACAATGTTTCTGTGGAATGAAAGTAGTACGATAGTCTAGCCACATATACCACTCCCGAAGCCCAAAAGTTGTCGAAAATTACCTCAAACGGCAAATAAAGTCACTAAATCAAAAATATATTAAGATTCATAACGATAAAATAGATCATTTTTGATATTTTAAACGATATCTCCTAAAATAGCACAAGGTGTAAGTACATATACCAATTTTTTAATATTCATTTTAAATATAAATAATAATGGTAAATCTATTTAGTAAATTAATGTTAGGATAGGTTAGTAATCTTTGTACTTAAAGGCTAAAATTGTGTCCATCTTATAACGAAAAAAAAATATAGTATATAATCTTTGAAATATTTTTTAAACTCAAATACTGCTAAAATATTGATATTCTGCCGGCCGTATTAGATACAGCCGCATCTTTGGACCTTATTTACCTAGAAGCTCAACATTAAAATATTAAAAACTAGGTTACTAAAACTAAAAAAGCACTTTTATGTTACATATTATTTTAGTCAAAAATTTGTGCTATCAACGAAATTAAATATACATAAAAAAGGGAGAACCCTAAACATGGAAGACGTACATTTGAAAATAAAATAAAATGCTTTTCTCAATAAAATTAAACTATTTTAGTAAAAACTAAATAAATACGTGCACTTGTGTTTCGGCGCCATTTTCCTTTTCAGTTATCGAATTTCGTTATTAATTCGTATTATAAACATTTTACTGTCTGAATAATTAGATACAAGAAGTCGAAATTCTGTGTAATAAGTCGTATAGATTAATTTGTAAAAAATTACGTCCGCATGATTATAGAAATTTTCATAAATAAAAAAACACATTAGTGCCCCCAAAAAAAGTCTGTAATCAAAAATATACAGATAATATAGGAAAAAAACTCATTCGTTTTGTTCTAAAAAACATGGCTATACTTTGTATAATTTCACTATAAATTAAAAACATTCAGATTTTATTCATTTAACAATAAATAAAGAATATAAATTTGGCCTAATTTGAGCATAATGAAAATTGCGCTCGGTTTCATGGGACAGCATAGAACTATGCATATTTTGAAAACTATTATACTTAAACAAAAACTAGGTACTCATTTTTTTAATACGTAATGCCGGCGTTTGGCCAGTATCTCGCCTGGTGGTAAGCGATGATGCGGCCTACGGTAGAGCATATCTGTCCATAAGCAACTTATTCATTCGGACCTTGAAGACACCGGTTATACCATTCAGGAAACACAAAACAATATTACCTATTTTTATTCCTCAATGAAATGCAACACCCGTGTTTAGCCAGGTATGTTATGAGTCCAATGTAAGAACAGGGTATGCATATTTTCTTTACTAATATTTTTTCTTTCCCTTTGTTCAAAAATCTTGGTTAAAATAGTGTCAGTAGTCAATATTTACTTTCGCCAAAAGAAACTAGACAAAACATCACGCCTATATGAGGTATGACAGAGGTGTATATAACATTTTAGTAAGAATTTTTCCCAAAAGTGATGTATTGAAGTAAAATTCTAGATATATCTAGGTAGTATGCATAGTCTAGCTAATCCCATTTAAGCTTAAAACCTAAATAAGCTTGTGTGCTTGACAGAAAGTGAATACTATTGGTCTAGCCTCGATGATCCTTAATATAAAACTGTTTTTAGAACTTTACAACGGCGCGGGCGACGACGGCACTTCCCAAGGTCATTTTAACAATGAAAAATATATGGTTTAGTATAATTACTGATACATTTACGTATTTAATTGTAGCTTTTTACTTTTTACAAGACTATAGAGAATATAATATATGATCTTAGTTTTAGTTTTTCTGAAAATTTCTGCTTTGTAGTTATCTATGGTGATATTGTACCGTCGTCGTGCCGTCACCGCTTCCTATCCGGGTCGCTCACACCTTTACAATCCAGTCTAATTTAGACCAAAATCTAGATTCTAGACTCTCATACCCATACAATCGACTAAACATATACCCGAACTACATCACTAGTAGTTTGTTTTGGCGACGCGATTAGTCGATTCTCGTTCCCAAACGATTTAGTCCATTACAACATTTAATAAAATGCCATCGACTACATACTGACGTAACCCAGCACTAAATGTGAATATCGCATGATTATAATGTATATAAGTTAATAATTAAACAATAAAGATTTAATTAAAATCAACAACTATCAATTTATAATAGAATCTTGAAGCAAATAATTATAATAAGAATTAAGAACAACTTATAAGTACCATTTTGTGTCAACTGATATAAATATATCGGTAAAATAGACCGATCGACTAAATATATCGATACAATATAAACATAATAACTGGCGAATTATCGAAAATTCCACGCTACATAATCGAGCTGTCGAATTTAGTCGAATCACGTCACAACCCAATAGACCCGACAACGTCACATTACTACGCGAATAGGTAACGTAGTGATGTGCGTTCACAAAATCGACTAAGGTGACAACTTACTAAAAGTCTATGGTTTAATAATGTCACTGTGTGTCTATGGTACTTATTGGACTTAGTTACACTAAAGTGTTTATTTTAGAATAGAATTTGCTAGTTCATTGCATATGGCTTGTCAGTACTTTGAGACACAGTGGCATTATTCAACCAAAACAACAAAATTAACAATGAATGTTTTTAAAAAACATATTTAGTAAATTCTCACATAAAATCGACTAAAGTTGCCAGCGTTTTGGGAACTTTGACGTTCGGAAACACCATGGGAACATCGCTAGCCGCGAACATATCGATAAACGCTTCGTAATCGATACAGAATCACCTAAAAATCGCCTAAGTCTTAGAATTCGTAGTTTAGTAAAAAAAATATTCAAAGATACGTTTAAGTATATTACGAAAATATTCGAGATTGAGGTTTTTGAGATAATAGAAGAAAAATATTTTTAGAAAAAGATCCTCAGGAATAGATACGTCGATTGTATAATATATAACGTTTGGCGATAGGGTGGCGATAGTATTGTTACGAAGCGTTATCGTTATTGGCGGTAAATAACGAGGGGACTCACGGCCATACGTTGTATGTATTGCTGTTCGGGACATTGGAGTTGCGGGCCTACCGAGTAACCGCACAAGCGTTTTCTGTGGACAAAAACCTTTGTTAGTAGATAATTATGGCGTAAGACTACTGAAGTGAAGATCACGGCATACGGTTAGATTGCACCAATTGGGTATTTTCCTGGGTCAAAAATAATTTATTTTGATTATTCAATCCAATGAAATATTCAAAAATAATTACAATTTCATTCATATATTTGACGATATAGGTACTTAATTTTCGATTTATTCTAGCGTTTTTTTTTTTCAGAAACAAGTGTGCTATTTGACTCGAAAATATGGTGACGTCACAAGTTAATTTTTGGTATAAAATTCATAGAACAATATCGTTTTTGACGTTTCGATAAAAAGTATTGAATTTGACTAGTTGGCAAGTATCCAATTTCACCACCCGACACTGGCAGTATAGTCGACAACATCGTATCGGAGACTCGGTTGCCAATGGGAAAAAAATTACTAAGAAGTCAAACCCTGTAAGTCCTTTAGTCATTTTGTCGTTGAATGTGTCAAGCGGCTAACACTGTAGCTGGTAGAAACCAAAGCCGGTCACATAAACTGAAACCTAAAACTAGAGATCTACAGGAGCAAAGACGGAGTGCGTACGTACGGGCGCCGGTGCAGGTTAGAGCAGCTCGTACTGGCGTAGATGCATCCGCTGTATGATGTCGCGGCAGTCGTTGAACACGCGCTTGATGTTCTCGGTGTCCACGGCGCACGTGAAGTGAGGGTAGCAGTAGTGCTTGCCGTCGCCGCTCGCCGTGCTTATACGCTGAAATATACAATACACAAGGTTTACATATACTCTAGAACAGCAATCATTCGTGGTGACGAATGATTCAAGATCCAATTTCGTCCACATCCAGATTCCGTCGCAAGAGATGGTTCTGAGTGTCAAGGATCGCCCGACAAGACTAAAACCAGACCGGTGCATACTCAAGAGCCACCAGACCACTACAGATGGGACTCAGTAGGTGTGATGCCGCGGACAACCGGTTACCGGGACTCTCACACGCCTAACCAAGAGGTTGTTTGTGTGGACGCGTTAATCTTCGTAACGATTGGTTCTAGTTGAATATATTGTTTTGAGCATTGTATAGTCCATTTATCGGAGAAGGATATAAGAGAGCTATATAACATTACGATCCGATAAATAGGAGCAGAGCACCGGATGAAACCGTGTGTTCGTTAGTCTTGCTAAATCTTGTAAATCCAGATGGGAGTGATTTGGTTAATTCTGATCTTGAATTATTTGTGAAAGTCCAGGGAATGTAATAAAATGATTAAAAGTAGGATGGTATACTAACAAGGAACTCGTCCCGTATGAAGTACTTGGCGCGCGCGACGTCGGGATGGTCCCTGGGGTCGGGCACCGCGTCGGGCGGCGTGGTATATCGCGCGAAGTCCGCGAAGTATTCCTCGAGCCGAGACTTGCCCGCCAGCACCTTCTCCGCCAGCAAGTCCTGCTTGTTCAGGAACAGGATCACTGAGATCGTGCGCAGCCATCTGGAATACGTACGAATATATTGTTTTAGTAGGTAAACACAACAGGTTTAATTGTATACCATGTCAAACATAAATGTAGAGTAAAATTACAACTAAACTTTACTATAAGGTATAATCTTTTCATATAATATTTAGTCTTATTCTTTCGTAAAGTTCTCAAATGTTTTCATATTGAAGACGATTTACTTCTCAATATCGGCAATAAAATGTTGGGTAACTACAATGATGGCTGTTTAAAATTAAAAGAGATTAATACGTTTTTCGATCTTTTTTCCTGAGATATAACATAATATGGAAAACCAATGAAAAGTATGTTTATTTTTTATTAAGTTGTATTTAATAATCGAAAGAAATCATTTTTGACTGAGAAAACTACCCGACACATGTACTAGTGGACAGTCCACTGCTGGCTGGTGAATAGGGTAGTTTCCTAAATTTTTAATGTCCATCTGGTAGATTATTTTTAAACATTAAGCACGTATTTTTGCTTTTCTCACAAAATTAAATACTTTCGGCGACATATTAATTTGAAATATCGTGTGACGTCACAACGTGCTACATTTTGTATCACTTTGTGACGTAACGACCAACTCCTCCAATAACTCCATTTTATCTAAGTATTGTCACTTTACACGACAAAATAAAGCCATCAGCAAATAAAGACATTTGATTTGATTTTGAATAAAAATAGGTGTCTAATATTTTTTTATTATTTAACTGACGGACTAATAAGTGTAGTACTTGCCAGTGGGCAAGTACCCTATTATTAATTATGACCCGTACCTATTGTTCCATATGCTCTTGAAGAGGTCGAGTGACTCCCGTAGCCGGTTCTGCGTGGGATCCTCGCGCAGCACCATGTTGTACGAGGAGCAGGCCGTCACGAATATAATGGCCGTCACGTCGTTGAAGCACTGGATCCACTTGCGTCGCTCGTCTCGTTGACCGCCCACGTCGAACATGCTGTAATTTTGAAGTTTGTTAGAAAAGGGTAAAATGCCAACAAGTATTATAGATTTTTTTTTTGTATTTCGAGAATTTACAACGTAGCCAAAACCTGGAAATATCCCGGTATATGTCTGCATTTCCATCTATAGGAATGAAGTCTTATATATTGGAGGATGAGGAGTTCATTACCATAAACTGCAGCTGTAGCCAAATGCAATTTAGCGCTTGTCTACATGTAGGATAGAAAACCAAATTATATGGAATTGACGTAAATTTTGACACTTGTCAGTGTCATCCCTATACATTTAGTTTTCTTCACTCTCTGTAGACAAGCGCTAAAGTGGTGTTTGGCTAAAGGCTCGGGACTCGATTCCGTGCTACTACGAGAATCGAAACTACTGAGTACGTTGCCTCCAGGACCCCTTTCTCTTACCACTACTGGCCATTAGACGAATAAGGCAGCGTTAGACGTTATATTAACGTAACATCACGCCTTTTATCCCCGAAGGGGTAGGCAGAGGTGCACATTACAGCATTTAATGCCACTGTACAGTACACCCATTTTTTACTATTTATATTATGAGTCCCATGTAATAGGGGGTAGGAATAGGCTATTGCCATATACCGGACACAATTCCAGACTCTGTGTTAGTACTGAGATTTTATATTACTCACTGGAAATTGACTTTATCGACGACGAACTGCGTCTCAAAGATGCCGGAGGTAAGCACTCGGCAGCGGAGGATGTCCTGCTCCGTCGGAGTGTAGTTCGGCTGCTTTATTATGTGCACCTGGTCCAGGAAACTGAAACGAAATTATATTCATTACATTAAAATACTAGGAATCGTAGCAATTGGCGTTTCATAGTCTCTGCTTACCCACCCCCATGGGAGACAGGCGTAAAGTTGTGTGTGTATGTTTTAAAATACTAAAGGAACAACTGCTGTTTATGAAACACGTTTGCCAAATAAGTCTGAAAGGTAAGATAATTCGTTGCTCGATAATAGTTGTGATTTTAGGAATTGTCATTGTTATTAGAATGCTATATATAATATCACCTCCGGTGCTATATATTATTGATTTATTTGATGAGCAAATTTAGGTTGCAATTCATTTTTGCAATGTATGTTTGGTGGTAATTTCGAATATTTTGATTGAAAAAAGGGAATTTACAGTTAAAGTATTTAAGCCACCTCTTAAAATTAAGTAGCCTTTCAGTATTCAGAGTACATATTTAAGAGTCTGGACTTTAAAAGAGACAATGACCTCTGAGTTTTTTTCGGCGTTTCTTCTCAGAGTAGTCAGTTAGGAAATGCCAGCTTTCATCTAGTAATTTAAACATTGACGTGTAAAAGTATTACATTGTAACCTATTTGCAGAAATATATATCATATCATTCAGCTTTCTCTGATAAATTTGGTCCTTTTAAATTGCTTTCTCCAACCCACTTGGACAGTGAGTGAATATGGCAAACATTCTCTTGAGTAGATGAGGTCCATAGTGCAGTACTGGCTAGTGGAGTATAATGAGTAAGCTACGTACTACTTGGCGCAGTCGATGAGTTGGTACTCGTTGCTCCGCTCGTATGTGCGCTGGACGCCGGCGTCGTGCCACAGCGCCTCCGTGTGCTCGTAGAACTCCATCGGGTAGTCGAAGTCCGGCTGCGACGCTACGTCCTGGAATAATTGAGAATTAACTTAAGAAACTGTAATTGTGTTTTATTTATTTTCTATTAAAAATCATGACATGTAGTCAAGATTTTATTTATTTCCTAGCTGACACGGCAATCGTCGTGTCGCCCTACGCCCTACTTCTTTTTCTCCTTTTTTAAACCTTCCCTGGACTTCCACGAATATTTCAAGACCAAAATTAGCCAAATTGGTTCAGCCGTTCTCGAGTTTTAGCGAGACTAACGAACGGAAATTCATTTTTATTTATATAGATAGAGAGATATACACTTCTGTATAACATACGATGGCGGACTTAATGCCGGGTAGCATTCTCTGCTGATGCACAGTAAACCATAGGGCTATCCCCATGTTAAATTGAACCATGGGGTGATGCAGATGGGATGTAATGGATATGCAACAGTCGGTATAACGGGTATTAAGACTCAATTTATGTGACATTGTTTCCTCTTATGTATACAACAACTACTTATGGATCACAGAAATAATTGTTACGGGCCATTCATGTTAAAGGGTACAGAAAGAATAATTGAGATTACATCGTATTAACCTCTTGTCTATCGATATGAAACACAATAGAAAACACATAGTGTCCCGCGAATATCTACGTTCCGGCCATACCACGGGTTAATAGAGAAATTGTTGTTTACCTGTATATAATCGACGCGCGCCTTATTCTCGGGCTTTTCAAGCGGTATGGGGGGCGTGAGGGTGCTCATAGCGCCCGTGATTGTCTGAAACAAAAATTATAATACATTATAACATTTTATCATTCTACAATATTCCTACTCCTTAGTTATAACAATTGATAGCTAGATGACATATAGTACTGATATAGGATTCGTAACATAAGTAGGAAATATTGTCTGCCTATCTGTGTGGGAGGTAAAAGGCATAATATTACATATTTTGTTTTTTTTATGGGATAAGCCGGCAAACGAGCAGACTGATCATCTGATAGTAAGCAATCGGCGTCGCCCATGGACACCCGGAACACTAGAGGCGTTACAAGTGCGTTACCGGTCTTTTGGGGGTTAGGAACTTGAGGATTGTTGAGGATTCAGGGATTTGGTTAGATTGGGGAGAGGGAGGATAATTGAGGCTCCGGTAACCTTACTCACAGAACGAAACACAACGCAAGCGTTGCTACACGTCGGTTTTCTGTGACACCGTGGTATCAATCCGGTCGAGGCGGCCAATTCGAGCCGAAGCATAGCTCTCCCACACTTAAATTATGTATGCTATAGTACCTTTTTCAGAGTGAGTACATTTCTTGCAAGTAGTTTTAGATAAATCACCAAGTTTAATGGAATAAGTCATTTGAATCACCTGATGGTAAGTCAGTGCTGTCCATAGATATTCGCAACGCCAGAGCTTTTAGGCCATGATATCAAACAGTCACTATATTATTATGACTGCCTCGTTGGCCGAATGGTCGCAAGTGCGACTGCTGGGCAAGGGGTATCGGGTTCGATTTCCGGGTAGGGCAAAGTATAACTGGGTTTTTTAAAAATCTCAGTAGTAGCACGGAGTCTGGAAATGAGCCCGGTATATGTCAATAGGCTCACCCCCATGGGACTCATAACATAAATAGTGAAAAGTGGGTATTACATTGTACAGTGGCATTATTAAAGTGCCGTAATATGCACCTCTGCCTACCCCTTCGGGAATAAAAGGCGTGATGTTATGTTATAAGATTAATATCAGTTAACCGCGAATTTTGTCGTGGTACTCACAAGTATAGCATCCCTAATATTCTTCTTGATGTCCTCGATCTTCTCCCGGCGCTCCTTGTCGGAGAAGCCGTTGACGTGTAGGATGCGCATCTGTTTCACAATGGTCGACTTTCCGGACTCACCCGCGCCCAGCAGGAGCAGCCGATGCGTCGCGCGATATAGCTGGAATTAGTACAAGCATTATTTATTAAATAGTTGCTAAATTAACTATTTTTTATTACTAGAGTTAGAATTTTCTAATAACATAATAATTAAACGTAAAAGTATTGTTGGGTTTTTCAAAAAATTCTCAGTAGTAGCACGGAGTATGGAATTGGGCCCGGTATATGGCAATAGGCTCACCCTCTATTACATGAGACTCATAACATAAATAGTGAAAAGTGGGTGTTCCATTGTACAGTGGCATAACGTACACCTCTGCCTACCCCTTCGGGGATAAAAGGCGTGATGTTATTCATTTATATGTAAAAATGCGTTAATTTGAATATTGGTTATTTTCCCCCCGTTCCCGTTCGTGATTTTCGGTAAAAAGTAAAAAAAAGTATTCTATAAAAAGTATCCTATGTCCGTCTCTTGGTTCTAAGCTACCTCCCGCCAATTTTCATCTAAATCGATTGAGGCGTTCTTGAGTTATAAATAGTGTAACTAACACGACTTTCTATTATATATATAGATGTAGTGAACAGACCTGCTTATCCTTCTGCAGCTGCTTGGTGATGGCATCGCTGCGACGCTTCTGTTTCTTCGCATCGTCTTCGCTGCTCTTGCCGCCTGGCGAGCCGAAGCATCCCATTGCCGACCACGCCGCCCACCTATGGACAAATGAACAAACATACACTCATGACGTACCCTTATATTAATATATTAATTAACTATCTTCCCGCTAGCAAGTTTTCATTGTGACTCATCATCATATTAATAAGAAAAACCCCGGAAAGAAGACAGGTGATTCTCACAAAAGATGGTACAAAATGTTACGTATGTTGTGTTATTATCCTTAAAGTTAATTCCACATAGTTCACTATACTGTGACGGTCCAAATTCGCTGCTCTCAAGCAACCAGAGAAGTATTTATAATAGTTGTAATAAGTTACCGGGCTGATTATATCAACGCCAATTAAATTTTATCAATAACTTTGAATATTTGACAATTCTTTCATACTAAAAATTGTCATTGTCATTGTACAGTTAAGAATTATCTGTTGATTTGACTGCACGGTTGGTGCGTTGGCTGGGCAACCGGCTGCCGTGCAACGTATCGCGGGTTCGAACCTGCACGGAACAACACTTTGTGTGATCCACAAATTGTTGTTTCTGGTCTGGGTGTCATGTTTATGTGAACTTGTATGTTTGTAAACGCACACACGACACAGGAGATAATCCTAGTGTGGGGCAAAGGTTAAAAAAATTACAATTCAGCCCTAAGATGATTAAAATTAAAAACCCAGCTTAAAACAAATGTTGTTTTTTATTAATTTACTTCACAACTGTCATGAAGCTAACAAACAAACAAACAAACAGAAAACACACCATTATATGTTAAAATATAAAATAAATAAATAATACATAAATAGAAGCTATCAGAATGAAATGATAGATATAAAAGCGTAGATTTAATCGGACTCGAAGTCCCCGTATTGGCACTATTCAGATTAAACTTTGAATGCAAACACATTTTGTATAGGACACATACACATCAAGTTTCAATTACTCAATGTACAGGTGCAATAATAAGGTTTATTTCAATCTTATACTATTACTAGCTTTTACCCGCGGCTTCGCTCGCGTCACAAAAGGATAAAAAGTAGCGTGACATATACCAATACACACAGCGCCATCTATACCAATACTTTTGTTTTCCCTCGGGAATATCAATTTTCCGGGATAAAAAGTACCCTATTATTTAATCCGGACTTCTAACTTTACGTCTGCAAAAATTCAAAGCAATCGGTTGAGTAGTTACGGCGTGAAGGTGGAACAAACAAACAAACGCACTTTCAGATTTATAATATTATTATATTATAGTAAGGATATAAAGCGGAAGAGTTTGTTTTTTTGAACGCGCTAATCTCCGTAACTACAAGTCTGATTTGAATAATTATTTTTGTGTTGGATAGTTCATTTATCGAGAATGGCTATAAATTAGGCTATAAACATCACGCTACAGCCAATAGGAGCTGAGCAGAGCGTGTGAAACCGCGCGGAAGTAGCTAGTGTAATATATCTTGCTTCTCTTAGCTCATTGCAACTATTTCCAATAAAACATATGTATTTGACTGCTATAACTCAAAGTAAAACCAGCCTTAAAAATAGACTACAGAATATAAAATCCAATATACACAAATAATGCAAACAAATCAAGCTCATCAGCCTTAATAAATAGAATTAGTATTGCACATTGAAACATAGCAATGATATAAAAATATTTATTTGAAGAAATATGTCATTTGTGGAGGGTCGCCCACGGCTGGTGTAAGTGTGGGCGGGCGTAGTCGGCAACCTTAATATAGAGGACTACAGGGTAACAGACATACAACCTGAGAGTTTAGTAAGTGTTTTACGTTTAAAGGTGCTCCCTCACCAGAAGCATTCGCGTGTAATGTAATGTTACAGATCTGAGCATTACATCAGTGAGGAGAACCGAGCATTTCAATGCGCACCTTGTAATGATATAATGTGTAACATTAATGAGCTCCACTTCCCCAATCCCAATCCAACATCAATATGTTACATTACACGCAAATGTTCGTTAGTCAGGGAGGTATTATTGTAATGTAATTCTCAAAGTCGAACCTATAATGTTACATTACACGTGAATGCTCCCGGTAAGGTAGCACCTTTATGCTCAAAGTCGTATCTATATGTTACATACACGCAAATGCTCATTAGTCAGGGAGGTATTATTGTAATGTAATGCTCAAAGTCGAATCTGTAATGTTACATTACATGTGAATGTTCGTCGTGAGGTAGCACATTGAAGTAATCGAAACGAGTACGCGATTGACACTGTGATTGGCCGGCTGCAATGTACCAACCTATTACTATTAGCCTGTCCTGTCCTGCGTCACTGTTCTGCCTAAATGTGTAATAGTTTCAAGACAGTACTGTACTGTGAGAACAAACAGAACTGTCACTGTTCTGCCCCCGTGTTAGCCTTTAGGCCTTAAAGTGCCAAGCACGAATAACTATCGCATTCGTAACATAAGAGTATCGAGTGCGGTCGGCGTTCTGATTGGCCGGCTCAAATGGACTAACCTTAAACTAACTTTAAACGTAAAACAAAATTGTACTAAGGCCTTTGATTGGTTGGTTCATGAGAGCCGGCCAATCGGAGCGCCGAACACGGTCTCGTTTCGATTACTTGTAAATGTAAAATAAACTCATACTAAGGCCTCTGTTGAAGGTAGTTGGAACTCAAAGTGGTATAGGGAAAGAAATAAAGTAGATATGAAAATATATATAATATTAAAATTAAGTTCCCATTGTTAGTTCTAATGATAAATATTGGCTATTCATTACAGATAATGTAAGGTCCTTACAGTTTTTACTGATGAAGTTGATAGTGGTTCATTAAGAAAAGGAAAGGTGTCAGCTTTAATTAGGATTTTTTCTTATAAGTCATACTTAACCATTATGAATTTTTCTTAATCGTCGTAATATTTAAACAGAAGCCTTAGTACGAGTTTGTTTTACATTTAAAGTAATCATAACGAGTATGCGTTCGGCGCGCTGATTGGCCGGCTCCAATGAAACAACCAATCAAAGCGCCGAACGCGGTCTCGTTAAGATTACTTTTAACGTAAAACAACTCGTACCACATGCCACGCAAAATGATCCAAATCATCAAAAAGCGCAAGATAGAATATCTCCGTCACGTACTGAATCATGACAAATACATGCTGCTTCATCTTATAATGATGGGTAAGGTGGAAGGGAAGAGAAGCGCTGGGCGAAGGAAAAAGTCATGGCTGCACAATATTCGGGAGTGGACTGGTATCAGCTCTGTGGAAAAACTTTTACGCCTGGAAAAGTTGACGGCCAACCTTCAGGAATGAAGTGGCACTTTAAGAAGAAGATCTCGTACCAAGGCTTCAGAAAATTAGAACCTAAACCTTCTATCAACATTTCAACAATTTAACTGTCAACCTAAGATTAAATATAACTGTCGCTCAGCTTCAAAATATTACCACTACGTTAAGTGCATACACAAACCTTATTAAAAACTGAAGAAAGAAAAGTAAGCTTAACCAAAACCCAACTACTTTCATATCTCACAAATATTTTTAACGCCTAAAAAAGGTACCAAAACTAATATAACAAAGTCTGTTATAAAAATCGTCCGCCACGACAAGCGTGCAACAAATAGTTCCGTACTACCCAATATAGGAACGGCCAATATTTCAGACAATCATGGCGTCGATACGCGCCGCAATTATTTATTACCTCATTAAGCTCGCCTTGTCATTTAGGCTCTACCCGCTAATAAATTAATGGTATTGTCCTGCTGACCGAATTTTCACCTCTACTGAGAATGCAAAGGTATCTAATAATATTGTAATGTATTGGATTGCCAAGTTTGTTTAAAGAAAGGAAAGAAAGAATTACCTACGCATTTATTCGGTATCGCTAAGAAGGTAATAAAACTCAGTATTAACTATCATCCTATTAATCTAACCAATAATATGAATGCGAAAGTCTGTGTGTATGTTTTAAGTGTCGGAGAGTGGGCCGGGTCGACCGGAACGCTACCTAGCCTCAAAGAAAACCGACGTGAAACAACGATTGCGGGTGAGGTTACCGGAGGCCCAATTACCTCCCGTCCTCCTCACTCTTATCCCTGAATCCCTAACAATTCTCAAATGCCTAATCTCCAAAAGGCCGGAAATGCATTAGTAACGCTTCTTGTGTTCCGGCAGCCACGGGCGACGCCGATTGCTTACCATCAGGTGATCTGTCTGCTCGTTTACCGGCTTGTCCCATAAAAAATCGCGTCCAAACGGCTGAAGAAATCGGGATGAAATTCGGAATAGGGGTCAGCAACAGACTATCGATATTATCTGGAATAACACATAGGCTACTTAAGTAGGCATATTCTCACACGGAGAAGAAATGATCATTAATCACCACGCTCGCGACGCTGATACACTGATGCAATGCGGTTTGTTAAATAAAAACAAAATCGAAACGAAAAAATCACTGTTTAATTTCGTGCTTAGCAATTAAACCATTAACCGAGTATTATAACCATTATAAACAACCCGGCCATAATCCCTGACTAGCCCTCAAGAGACCTACTTTCCATTCCATATTTTCATAACGCTATTAGTAAACCTAAATACAACTTTATGGTGCCTAACCTAAAGTCTAAAAATAGCAGGCAACAGGAAAACTATTTCTGTATGCGTTTAAGGCTTTCAATCATTGAATTCTTCGCTGTTTTTGCGTCTATAAATAGAAAATGGATCCGTTTTCAATAGGTAAAAGAAATTGTACCTCGTTGCTTAGTTGATGCGCAATTTGTGTTTTATTGGTAGGTACGGCTTCAAAGGGTTGGTTTCAATGAAAAGAAGTCGTTTGAGCATGAAATAAAAATTATGAAACCTTCTCTTTAGCAAAACTATTGATTTGTCAATTAAAAGTTGCCGTAGAATAAATAAATTTCATTTAGATAGAAGCAACAAATTTTGTCCTTCAAAAAACCTAAATAGATTATTTTGTGATCTCGAAGGATCCGTTCAATTGGCAATGGTTTCCAAAAACCTCAAGTCATAAACTGGAACCTTAACACATAAA